AAGTCACAAGCTTCGTGTAATGGTAGCTAGAGCAAAACTAAGCCAGTCATAGGAGATGAATTTAGTAAAATGTGAAAAGGACATGAATGATGATTTAATGAGTCTGCAAGAAGGCAGCTCCGACCGAACCTTTGGGGAAAAGCAATTAAAAATAAAGCCCCAGGCGAGGGAGTCGCCAGTAGTCCTCTGGATGGTCTATATGGGACTGACCTCTCCGACCTCCAAGGGCGTCGAGACTTCGGGCCGAGGCCACTGGCGAGGGAGTCGCCGTTACTCCTCTGTCTCGGCTGAACCCTAGGAGTAGGTGGAGCAATAGAAATGAGCAAGATATCTTGGTGTCGTGAGGTTGGTGTAGTGACTGAGGATGTAGGATGATGTTCCTGTTGAAAGAGAATACCAGCCTTGTAGAGTATAATTGTCACTTTGGTGGAACAATTGGTTTTTTGCTCTTGTGCTTGCCCTTGGGGACCTGCCACTCCATGTCGTCTGGGTCAGACGCAGGAGTGGATGGTTCGGCACCCTCCTCCATTGGTTCTGCCTCCTGGGCGGAGGCTGTTCTAGCCGGTTTAGAGAGGTTCTGGGCACGAGGAGGAAAACCCCGGCCCCTACCTCCACCAGCCGGAGGAGCAGAGGTACTGGGCAGGCAGTCGCCCAAGCCCACCTGCTCCTGCCCCTTGGGTGCTGGAGGAGTGGCCCAAGAATCGTGCCGCTCCTTGGATGAGGACGCTCCCTCCGAAGAATTCGGTCGGGAGCGTGGTCCCTTCTCCTTGGAAGGAGACTGCGAAGCACTGATAGGTGCGGACACAGCCGACCCATCTTGGGTAGGAGAAACAGTCTGTGAGCCCTCTACACGAGAGGGGACAGGTTGCTGCCCCGTGGAAGTGGTACAACTCTCGCTGGAGGGGGATGTAGGCCTACCAGACGAGAGTGAACGCCCAGGAAGCTGAAGCTTCAGCTGGGGTGTTGGGGACTGCAGTTGCTTCCTAGCATCCGGGAAGGACGTCTGGGTTGCCACCGCAACCTTCAGTGGTGCAGGTCCCCGCTGCACCACCTGTGCAAAGCCGCCCTTGCGCAAAAACGCGAAGCGGTGACGCGCCTCTGGGTATGAAAGGTTTTCTTTCACTTTAAGTGTAAGAATTTCTTTTTCATCTTTCCATGTCTTACACGATCTGGAGTAAGCAGGGTGGGGCTCTTTGCAGTTTACACGGAGTGTGTCGTTGGAACAAGAGTCTGCAGCATGGTCGGTTTTGCCACACTTAGCACATGTCGCTTTGCCGCGGCAGTTCTGTGAACCGTGTCCAAATCGTTGGCAGTTAAAGCACCTTCTGGGGTTCGGAACGTAAGGACGAACTCTGCAGTAGAGGTATCCCACTTTCACAGACTCAGGAAGTGTGGTGGACTCAAAGGTAAGCACGATGTGCCTAGTCTTCAGCTCTTGGCCGTCACGACGCAAGGAGATGCGCCTTGCAGCTACAACCCCCTGCTCAGTAAGGCCCTCCACTACTTCGGTCTCAGACGCGTCCAGAAGGTCCTCCTCCGAGATGACTCCTTGGATGGTGTTCAATGTCTTGTGGGGTGTCACTGTAACTTTGTAGTCCGACACACAGTTGAATGCAAGGAGCGCAGAACTCTGGTGGCTGGTCTCAATTTCTACAAGCCAATCGCCAGATGCCAGCTTCTTCTTTCCAATCACACCCTCTAGGACCTTTGCAACAAGAAATGGTGACATTTTCGAGAGTTGTTAGTCACTTTCAGAGTGGAGTACCAAGAATTTTGGGAATCTAGGTGGAGTAGTGTGTGTCTCGTGCGAGGTAGAAACTTCGGTGCGACCCCTTTTCGGAAGCCGATCAAGATAAGATTTTTTGTGCAGACCCCTAAGAGATGGGAGGAAAATTCAGCGCCTGGGTGCACCGCCCACCACGGAGCCCAACAAGGGGGTAGGTAATGTGCCATAGCAAGATGGGCTTGGCTGACACAATTACTCTACCAGTGCTGCCCGGGCACTATACCCTAGTGTGGTTGCAGGGACAGGTCCTGTTTCCACTCAAGGTTGGCCCTTGCCGCCTAAGAAGGTGAAAAAGGAAGCAAGAGAGTGTAGAAGAAAAGAGAAAGAGGTGGGAGGAAAAGTGAAAGAGGGAAGAAGAGGGTAGAAGAGGCGACTGGCTGAATCATCCTGGTCGGGCCAAGCCAGGACACCCATCTACGAGAAGCAGGGGCCGAAGCGGTGGATTGCCTCGCCCGGGGGGCCCCGAAGGGTCCAAACAAACCCCGGGCTCAGCTCAACCACCAGGGTCCCCTTTTCCCCGGACAGGCGTGGGTGGGTAAACCCACATAGCTCGGGGTTCGCGGTGGCGCCACTCACCAAGCACCTACCAAGGCAGGTGCCCCCTGCGTGCGGGTATGGTGGCCCACGTGGCTGGGGTCCGTGGTGACGCTACTCACCAAGCACCTAGCACATAAGGTGCAGGCGCCCCCTGCGGGGCTCGGGGTCCGTGGAGACGCCACTCTCCAAACACCTGCTTTCACAGGTGCCCCTGCGGGGCTTGGCCGTTAAGAGGATCCCCTCCTGTGGTGGTCGACCCTGGGAATCCAACTGTACCCTGCGATGGCTACAGTGGTGCAGAAGCATCTAGCTGTCAATTCGAACTACCCAGGCGGAAAGTGAAAGGGTGTGCTCTATAGCAAACAATATTGTGACAACCCCAAGGGAGCACCTGCTTCCGGAGCATGTTGAGCAACTTTTCTTCATGTAAATTTATTGAACTCTAATCTCATTGGAAACTGCAACATGTGAGAATTGTAGTGTGTGTACTACGTACTGAACAGACATAGATTTAGTTCATTTCTTTTTTCTATCATATTTTAACTCTGTAATCCCATTTAGGCTTTCTAGTGTTTGCATTCCAATAAATAAGTCATACTTGGATTAATTGTGGTCTCATGCTCACAAATAAGCCCACTTAATAATTGCACGTATGCAATAATTATCTTTCATGCCACTTTGCGGCCAAGATTTTTGAACGGCAAGTATTCGACTCGAAAATATTCGGCCAAAATCACTATTCGTTTTGAATTTGATTCAAACTCAAAATCCACTATTTGCACAACCCTATCGGTTAACATTCGGCTAGGCTGGGTGTTGTTGACAGCATTTCAGAACGTGCAAACCCTGCCGCAACCACAGCAGTGCCTCCTGAGCCTTCCGAACAAGCTGTGCTAGGTAAGTTTGGATTGGATTTTTGTGGCCCATGGACTGTCAGCAGACAAGTGGCGCCTGAAAACTAAAGCCATTCATGCTAAACTCTCTCCACGGCTAAAAAGGCGTCTATCAATTTTCTATAGCGCATATCTGTGCAACACTGCATACTACCCAGCAGTTTTCTACTGGGCTATGGCCGCCTGCTGTACGGAATTAGCCGCCAACAAAATCCACCGGAGCTGGGCGCCGTCCATCTGGAGGTCGCCAATGGAGAGAACATGCCGCAGTAACCTCTTCTTTAGTCTGGAGGTGGGAGGACTGGGCCTTGTCAACGTGGTGCTGGAGCTGCATGTCTAACGGCTTCTCCTAAGCGCCCTCCACTACCTTGGGTACCCGTACCTTGCCACATGGATGGTTAGCACTACAGGCCGCATCACCAGGGGTGCAAATCTGCGCTTCTACACTGGAATTGCCAGCTCCATCGAGTTTTTCTTGGACCTTTTCTCATGGGAGTACCTCCTCACAGTAAGCGACAAGATGTAGTAGGACACCATCAGCAAATTCTTCCAGCGCTCCTTTACAGGGATGTTCCGTTCCCTGCCTGGGCGGCCGGGCTCTTCAGGCAAGTAAGGAGGCCCCCCGTCCCTGCAACGAGCTAGGACTTCTTCGCGCAGCTCCACATCAAGATGCTGCCAATGAAGGTGTGGCTGTAGTCGAGGTGCATTTCGTACCATGGTCTACCAACTGCGCCCTCTGCGGGGCGACTGAAACACTGTAGCACCTTTTTGTCGAATGCACTTTGGACTTCGGAGATACCGACAGCTTAAACTTGGCCCCGGCACTTGTGTTGCTGGGGCTCCACGCGCCACTTGGCTAGCACGCACGGCGATGGTGGAGTATCACCGGGGCAGGATGAACTAAGGCTCTGGTAACCCCAGTCCTCCCGGGGCTGGTGCAGGTCGGAAGGAAGGGAGCGTGGGGGCCGAACCGGGGCTCTGATCCATTTGTTGCCTCCTCCTTTAGTTGGACTATGCATACACGCGTGCCCTCTCGAATATCTTTCCTTTTCTTTTTTGCAGTGCAAGATTATCTATTAAAAAGAAAAAAGAAATCTGCTGTTGTTGAGAGGTAAGAAAGCCGGGACTTGTCGTAGAGGCGTGAAAATTCCAAGTTCCAATCGTATCACAATTTTTTTTATTTATAATTTGCGGGTGCGTTTTACTTTTTAACTGTGATCCTTTTTACAAATCATTATTGAATTATTATTGCAATCATTTATTGCTTGCTCACCATTCATTTTAATAGCTAGATTCCTTAAATGCAGCGAATGTATTTTTGCGTCCCAAAACGTCTGGCTACACTACCTGTTCAGTGTTTCTGCCATTTTCGGTTCTGCAGCACCTGCATTTCTTTCAATCGTTTCTTGACTGATCGTAAACTGTTCCACGACCCGCTAAAGCTCCCCATTAGGGAGCTTTAGCGAGTCGTTTTTCGAACCACGGTTCTTAAACCACGAACGGTGCAGCTGGTCTGTTCCGTGAAACTTTTTTGTGATGTTTGACATATTTTAGCGAATCGTGAAACTAAGGTGCTCTAGAAGGGGTGGTGTGAAAAGCGCGCCGCTTCCCCGCTGGACGGCGGGGTCCCCCGGGGCGTTGATTCCGCCAGGGGAAAATTTGGCGCTGAAACTAGGGGCGCCGTCAGAGCCGTCGGCTGCGTAGTACGTGCTCGGCTTCCGACGCGTTGTTTACGAATTGCTTTTTCTTGCGAGAGGATGCCCTCCACAACAAAAAAGAAAACGCAACGATGGTGTTTCGTGCCAGGGTGCGATGGAGGCTACAAAGGGTGTGCAGATAAGGTATCCCTTTTTCGTGCGCCGAGCAATCGTGAGATGTTCGAGAAGTGGGCACGTGCAATCCCCAGGGCGGACAAGCCACTCGAAGAAAACTCCGCTGTATGCGAAAAGCATTTTGACGAGAGGTGGGTGTACTTACTTCTTCCCGAGTTGAGGGTCAGAGATGCTGGGGAGGAAGACCGTGATTAAACGGCGGAGTGGTGCAGTAGGTAGCATACCCGACGCGATTTTGAGCTCTCCAAGTAATGGTGCTTATGATGCCGCTTGCACTGAGACGGTAATTTGAGCCGGTTTGCCAGAAACTGCTGGCTGAAAGAAAGAACTACCAAAACTCACGAGTGGGAGTGGTGCTTTCATTCCTACAGCTTCAGCGGAAACGTTTCTAGCAAGGCAGCCTCGATTTTTAGCTCGAGCACGATGTCGAGTATTTCGTGGGCTGTACTCTACTGCGCTGTAAGTTACACACGCGGTTATTTTACGTAACTTTGCAGGTCGGTTTCAACTTCATGGAGCTTAGGAAAAATTTACTCACTTTTGCTTTTATTTTTCTGCATATTAAGGGGCATTCCGAATATCGGCATAGGGATGCGCACCAAATAATTTTTCAAACTTTCCACTCGCTTTCGGCCCATTTCGCTCATGCCCAGAAAAAAAAATAATAAGACATTCATATTACTTAGGAAGTTGTGGCATGCTACTTTCGAATGATTTTGCATGCGTTGTAGTTTCCTTTCTATGACAGAGCTCAGCCGTGAATGTTTTGCAGCACTTTTGCAATTGTTCGATAACTAGAAGTGTGGCTTTTTTTTTTTTTTTCAGATTCGTTGTGCGTGCCTTTAAGCACCAAGTAAACGGCCAAGAGGTATTGATACCACGTGACATCCCTACCCTGACGGAAGATGCATTTCCGACTGTTTTCCCTAACCTTCCGAAGTACATCAGCAAGACTCTCCCGAAAGCAAGGAAAAGGCGGATCACTACATCACTCCACGCTGTGCCAGCAAAGGCAAACTGCAGTTCACAAAATGAAGTCTCCCCTAGTGGATCTGGAGAACTGGATGGGACTCAAGAACACCATCATGAAGAACTCAACGGTTCTGAAGTACCGGCTAAGACCCATCAATGTCCTCACCGTGAAACACTTGCAGTGCCTGCAAGGGGAGATTTCGCTCATCATTTGCGCTGCCCATCACATCACTGGTACAAGCAGACACTTGAAAGTGGCAGCGTGGTGTCATACCAAACTACCGTGTTTGACAAAACGAAAACACCGCCTGTCGAGTTAAGCAAGATTGTTGTCTTCGAGCACGAGTCAACAAGGCCATCTGCGAGGTGCAGCATTTTCTTCTCTGGGCTGCTTCACAAGGTAAAGAATGTTGAATCAGAAGAAGAAGCTCAGGAAGCGCTTAACTACACAGAAGACACTTCGCTGTGTGTTGGCATTGGGGGAACCACCGAGTTCCAGCTATTGGACCAGAAGTTCAAAGGCATCGCATCACGACAGCAGTTGTTCTCGAAACACTGTGACGGATCAGCACCCACAGGTATGCTATCTTAGTTTGTGAATGCACAAACCATCAATTTGTTACTCGTTTTTACTTGGAGCGGAATACATCTAAATACCACATACCTCTACTGTTATGTTCTATGTTCTCCTCCAGGCACAGGTGGATCACGTTGTTTGTCATGCAAATACAGCAGGAACCTTCTAATGACACGCTTGCGGCGTATGAAAAAGCAGCCCGCACATCCAGTCAGCGTTTCGAAACAAAGACTCAGACAGGCTGTGCGAAGGCTAAGACGGAGGACCAAGAAAGTTCTTTCGTTACTTGACCGTCTCAAACTACTTCAGGAAAAGAATGTCTCCATCACTGAAGGGGCTCTTGAGGCACAGGTTAGATTGCGGAAAGTTTATTGCATGCTTTCCTTACAATTTCCACAAACAGGATTGGTTTGTGTATAAAGGTTGTCAGCCTAAATTGACTAGCAGTTGTGGATCTCCTTGTTCTTTTTTTTTTTTTAGATCAAAAAGCTTCCACAGAAACAGCAGTTCGCAGTGCGGGCCTGCTTTGAAGCATCGCAGCGTAGATCCCTGCGTGGGTACCGCTACAGCAAACAGTGGCTCTTGGAATGCATCATCCTACGAATGAAAAGTGCCCGTCTCTACGAGCATTTAAGGCGTCATAAGATCCTGGTGCTCCCAAGCCGTGTCTGCCTCTTCAAGTACATCAAGGTTTGTGTATGGGAATTATTTACACCAGGCGAAAGTCCTTATCCAATATTACTTATTCACAGAAATTCAAGGCATCGTATGGCTTCAGCCAACAGCTGTTGAATTCAGTGAAGATCAAGCTGCAAGGAATGGATGACATGAAGCGACATGGAGGCCTTGTCATAGATGAAATTAAACTTTCGTCACACCTGGACATGACTGCCTCTACACGTATTGAAGGCTTTGTCGACCTCGGACAGTTTTCTCAGGAAGTGGACAAGCATGTTAGGGCGGACCATGGTCTTGTGGTGATGTCCCTAGCAAAAATTCCTATAGAGATTTGTATCGGACCAATAGAAATTTCTATCGGTCCGATAGGAATTTCTATTGGTCCCATAGAAATCTGTATCGGTCCCATAAAAATCTGTATCGGTCCCATAGGAAGTTCTATTGGTCCCATAGGAAATGTGTATCGGTCCCATAAGAGTGCGTATCGGTCCCATAAGAGTGTGTATAGGTCCCATAGGAAGTTTTATTGGTCCCATAGGAGTGTGTGTCAGTCCCATAAGAGTGTGTATCGGTCCCATAGGAGTGTGTATTGGTCCCATAGGAGTGTGTACCGGTCCCATTGGAATGCCTATTGGGCCTATAGAAATTTCGATCGGTCCAATAGGCATTCCTATTGGTCCCATAGAAACTTAGACTGGTCCCATAAGGACTTTATCGGACGGTTAGGAATCTTCATCAGTCAAACCAAAAGTTTTGTTGGCCAAATAGGAATGCTTCCTTGACTAGTGGAAACCTTGAATCATTCAAATAGGAATGTACCAATTGTGCATGTCTATATTTGAGCAATAGGAATAAATTAGACATATGTCTGTCAGAATAGTCCGCGTCAGAAATACACCGGCCCATTTGATGCATGTGTTATGTAACCTGGGCTGTGTGATGCAAATATCTATTCCAAATGCAAAAAATGTGTCCACACAAGAACAGCATGCATAAAAGTACATCAGTCAAGTTAATTATGCAACAATGTTACGCTTTTTTTTCCTCAATATTTTCGAATGGCAAAAATGGTTTAAGCCCAGGTTACATAACACACCATCATTGTAAATCAATGGGTTATAAAAATTCATATAGTTTTGTAGCTTGAAATAATGCTAGAATAAGAGACTCACGTACAGTCACAATTTAGAGGAAAATAGCATATTGAGATGCTTGCTTTTCTGAATGAATTTTAGGGCAATATTCTAAATAAAACTTGGGAGCCTGGTGCGTCAAAATAATTTACTAATAAAATACTGTAAGGAAAGTGTAAATAAAAGTAATCTCTACGAAAAATAAAGAAAATATCTTGATGGGTTGAAACGAAGAAATCTACTTCCTACTCCATTTCACCCAAAACAAATGGCAAGTCGGTACTAGTCATGATTTACAGATTTATTTAATGTGCTTATAACAATAGTTGTATTCACCTTCTTTTATTCCTAAGTTTGTAAAGACATTTTTATGGCACTCCACCATCGCGATTCGGCCAGTTTCGGTTTCGGTTTTGTGAGGAGCTCATATTGTTGAAAAACAGCACGGCTGGGACGAGGACAAAAAGACGAAGAGAACACAGGACAGCGTCTGTCCTGTGTTCTCTTCGCCTTTTTGTCCTCATCCCGGTCGCGTTGTCTCTCAACATGAATTCTCACCAACTTGCCCAGTTATCTATTCCTATCGAGCTCGTACTAGTTACAGGACCCCCATCGCTAGCGACACCAGACTTTTTTTTACCCCGCCATCCGCCATTGTCTTGTCGTGCGTCGGGTGTGTTTCAGGGGACGAAAATGCTTTTATACATGGAAATGTACTCATTTATTCAAGTTTACCTATCTGTGAAGTCTCCTCTTATGTTGATTATGGTCAAGAAGAGCTTGGAAGATCCACGACGCGACAGTCTAGCGAGCACCTGAACACAGTTGGTAAGCATGCGTTTGGTCTTTGCTTGCATTGTAGACGCGTTGAAGTTTGAACATTAGGGAGTTTCAGAATGACGTCCGCAACCTCGAATAAATAACGTCGTCGCTAGTGCGAATGCGCAGACCCAAAACGAGCATTGGGGCTTGGGCTTTGGGGCCCGTTATTTCTCGGAAATATCGTGGATACCGCAAATGGCGGCGCCCACGACATTCCGCTGATCGCGTCTTCGACGCCCGCCGCCCGCTTGGGACTGCGTGAGTCGCACTTGGCGACCGCGATTGGTATAGTCATAGCGTACAGAAAATGTAATATACCGTTGGATTCAGAGCTCAAAGCTATCAAAGCGCGTGTACTTGCGATCGCGGCAGAAATGTAAACATGCCGGGGTTGTGGATCGTCGTGGCCTCGGAAGTACAACAGAGCAGTTTGGCAGTGACTGAAACATGCGGCATTGAGTATAAAACAACTATAAAAATGTTATTCCAGATGATAAGCTTGTTTAATTTTAAAGATATAACATTCTAACTTCAAAATAAAAGCTATCGCAACATCTTGGTGGCGTTTTAAGTGTGAGATGCTTGCGTTTTGGGTGCTAGGCAGAGAAACGCTTTTGCCGTCCGTAACGCGAGATAAATTAGCGCTCGTTATTCTAAAGCTCCCTATTTTCTCGGCTCACTTTTGCTTGTTAAGCTATTTTTTTTAACTAGTTGTGCTTGCTTTACCTGTTCTTATGTTTGGAACTGTGCGTCGCATAGAGAAAAGTTGTCACTCACTCCGGGTGTGGTCCGAGAAAGTGTAGCTTATGTCAACAGAGCACACTTACTAAATTCCTTAATGCTACCTTCAATCCGTTTCTTTAGAAAATGTCTTACTGGTCTAGCAGTGGACTGAAGTGGTCCCACTATAAATTGATTACATTGATCATACTTAATTTCATTTGAGAAGTTACACTTCCATAGTATTTGGTTCATGCAGAGCCACTATGTCTTTGCAGTCAAAATGGTTCAAAAATAGCCATCTTTATAAAACGCGTGACAGCATGTGACTAGTTTTGAAGTTATGAAAGTGGACTGGATGTTACTGTTAAGGCAAACTTCGATCCCCTGACTTTCCCGAATTGATCTGAGTTTACATGCCTACTATGTATTTGTTGACCAAACTAAATGAAGCATTGTTAGGAATCCCACAAACATAAAGCTGATATTAATTTTACATCATTTAATTTCAAGGTTCTTCAGAAGGTTGACGCTTAATAAGTTTTGAAGGCAGTTAGGCTCATGATGAAGACAGAAAACAAAGGAAATCCAGCCTCTTAATTTTATTTTCTTCAGTCTGAAATTTGAAAATGCTCGAGTCATCTATCGAATGGCTTTAGCCTTAATCCTTTTCTGTGGTGACATCATCCTCCACCTTTGTCATGCCGCCGATTAACTCTTTTTGTTTGTTCTGCTGCTCATTTCAGGATTTCAAGCAAGAAGTATGCTACTATGCTCTGGCACATTCAAGACTCAGTTTGTGACAGTGTTCAGCGTCAAGATGCCTTCATAACAGGAGCAAGTGTACCCCAAGACCCTTTTTTGCATAATAAAATGTATAAAGGCACACCATACCCTTTGTGCTCATGCAGATGGCCTATATGCCAATGCACCAATAGGCCCATACACCAATAGGCCCATACACCTATAGGCCCATACACCTATAGACCCATACACCTATAGGCCCATACACCTATAGGCCCATACACCTATAGGCCCATACACCTATAGGCCCATACACCTATAGGCCCATACACCTATACGCCGATACACCCATAGGTGTCAATAAACCGATAGGCTATGGGAATTCTCTATGGGAATTTTTGCTAGGGGTTTCAACCATTTATTGGCAAATGGACTCAAATAATTGGTAAGTTCATGCTAGTAGCACTAGCATTTTCAATAAATGCAATTTTTGTTGAGTTTCACAGTTTGGGTGCATATATTTTTCTTGCTTTGTAGGTGTCTTTGCTTCTGCCAGCAATGTTAAGTCAAAGCTTCTGACAAAGATTGTGGTTGAAGCAACACTGCTTTGTGAACAAGTTGGACTGTATGTGGATTACATCTGCTCAGATGGAGCATCCTGGAACCGTGCCATGTGGCACGACCTTGGCGTTCATGGGTCATTGAAGTCCGTGGAATGCAAAGTTCTTCACCCGTATGACGAGCAAAGATTTTTGTACTTTATGTCTGATTTCCCCCACCTCATGAAGTGTGTCCGTAACTTAATGATGAAACATGGGTTCAACACGCATGAAGGACGGGTATGTAACGCATGCAACTGTTTTCTTTTAATATTTGCTGCTGCTCTTAATTGTGTCTCAAGATGTGATTTGATATAATGGCAATTGTCTGGATTCTTGCACAATTCTTGGCTTCGCAGGCTCACTGGGAACACGTTTCATCGACATGGAAGTGTGACAACAGTGTCACCTTCAAAGTGGCTCATAAATTGACTCGAGCTCACATCTTTCCTGACGGCTTTCAGAAGATGAGAGTTGACTTGGCTTTCCAGGTTTTTAGTCCGCTTGTTGTGCGAGCCATGTCCTTCTATGAAGATAAGATAGAAGCCCAATACCCTAACCTTAGGCCGACCAAGGTTTTCATCACTCTGATGGCCGACCTCATTGAGGTCATGACATCAAGGTTCCCAGCTCAAGCACTCAGGTGCGGTTGTCTTTAAGTTCGATTTTTATCCTGTGCGTATGCAATTGAAATTAACTTTCCCCCGTTCTTCCAGACCTGGCAGCAAAAAGGCGGCGGTGCTGGACAGAGTGCTGCAGTTTCTTGGCGCATGGGAAGTGCACGCCGGAAGACTGGGTTTTCTCAGCACGAGCACGGCAGAAGGTCTCCGTGTGAGCCTGCATGCCACGAAAGACCTCCTTAAGTAATTACAAAGCTATGTCATATATTAACTCGCTCTTGATGTCAGGCTCGTAGCCAGGATTTTGTCTCGGGGGGAGACAAAATCCCCCCCTCCCCCTCATACAAAATGCTGTATGAGGGGGAGGGGGGGAGAGGAGGTCCCAGCAAAACGGAAGATTTCGGGGGGGGGGGGGCCCTCCCCCCTGGCTACGTGCCTGCTTGATGTAGTCCTTGTTTTGAGAACTGTTTTAGTCCCATAGTCATCTTTAGTGGAATTGTAATGCTCCTCCAAGTTTCTTATTGGTAAATTCTGTGGCATTATGTACATGCCGCACCTGTGATAAGTGGGAACAATGCAAGATTGATCAGTAGCCAACACTTGTAAAATGTCTGACATGTCCGGTGTTGCATGAATGAAATGATGCAATATTTTCAGGTACCTGACCGAAAAAGTTGGGTTTTCCTTCCTGATGACCTGCCGCCTTAGCCAGGACTGCCTGGAGAGGTGCTTTGGCATCGTGAGGCAGTCGTGTGGAGCAAATGATCACCCGACGCCAGCCCAGTTTATTGTGATTATGAGGTACAGAACCACCATTTTTTAAATTTCCCATGTATGTAATCTGTTAGAAAGAAACAACCATTGATGTTCCTATCCAATTTTTGTGTACACTGCAGGTGTCTGGCGTTCTATGGCTTGGCCAGGAGTCCTGTGGGAGGGAATGTTGCACCTGACATGCTCGAGTCCTTGCTTTCCATGGAGGAGGCTCTACAGGATGACGACGAAGAAGCTTGCCACTTGGAGGAGCCATCAGCCTCGGCCGAAGTCGTCGTTGACCATTTAGCATACGTCACACAACACAGCGATGCTCGCCTTGTGTACTATGTCGCAGGATATGTAGCAAGGAAACGAATTCTGCCAAGCTCTTGCGAGCTATGCAAGTCGCTATGTCTCGCGAGTAAGGAGGACGTGCCCTCCAACCTGCCAGCAGAAACCTGCATAGAGTGGGATCTTGGGGGGCTCCTGTACCCGTCCGAACCCCTGTACAGACTCATTCAGACACTGGAAGACAGGCTGACAAGTGCATTCAGCAAAGTGAAGCTCCATGCAAAAGTGGTTAAAGAGATTGTACATGGCATCGGGCGGGTTCCGAGCATAGGCTGCAGCGAGCATTCGCTCGACTTGACACAGACAGTTGTCAAGTTTTATGCAATGACGAGAGTGCATTTTTTCCTGAAAGGAAAGAACCAAACTGAGAATGAAAAGAAATGCAAGAGGAAAAAACCATGTGTCCTCTAAGTGCTTGCACTGTAGCTCTGTGAAAGAGCACACCTTGGGCGTGTTTTGTGAATAAAAGTTGTCAGTGTTGGAATTTTGATGAAGCTTTTTTCTGGCACTAGAGACACAGTCGCACTATCATGATGATAATATTATTACTATTATAACGGTGCACTATTCTCTGTGCATTTTCCTTCTATAAACGGAGCTTGCGGTCCCCAAACTGGTTAGGCAAGTGCCACTATTGGCACTATAGAGCTTAAAATAAATCTATAATGTCGAGTTGTCTTGGATTCTACAGCTTCTATTAATCTTTTCTCACGGGCACTAGTCTTCAACGGGACTGGGAAGTCAAAATGTAGTTTCCCCTTTTACTGCACAGTTGGAGTTCAATAGTGAGCTGGCTGAAGTGTGGAGGCTTGGCCTCCTTGGAAAGTTGGACATACGCCGCTGTAGGCTCCGGTTTGTTGCCTAATTAACAGATTAATACCTAGTTTGAGCGGAAAAGTGGGAATACTCGCCCACCCAGTCTTCCGACCGCAAAAGTGTACTCGAGTGACGTTCTGACGGGCCAGCCGTAGCTACGTACGCTGTTCCCAAATAAATACGAAACATCGTCCATGATAAGATGAGACAAAGTATATAGGCGTTGATAATTGAACGTACCATTTATTCCGGTTTCTTCGTTCTCCACCCAATCCGGTAATTACCAGCATGGGCTCAAGCACATATCAGCAGGCTCGCGCGAACGCACCGAAAACCGCTTTATATATAGGCTAAAAAGAACCATCAGTATGGTGTAAACGACAAACATTACCTTACTTTTCGAGCTGCGAGATGCTAGGCCGATCGTAGTTACCAAAGGCTGCAAAACAAATAAGCATCAACAGCCGCAGCGTCTTCTTTCGTAGTGTTTCCCTGGTCCGTCTACGGTGCGCTGACGGCGCCCCTGATCGCGGCGCCATCCTGCGGCATCAACGAAAACCGGCACCGCGCTTCGCCCTCCGCTTTACACACCACCCCTTCTAGAGCACCTTAGTGAAACTGGAGCAACCGTGTAAACAATGATAATGATTGGGTTTGAGTGGTGGCGCCATCTTCTAGCAAACATGTGAAACATTCTGATGATTGTTTGACTGGTGGCGCCATCTTGTAGTAAACATGTGAAACATTCTGCAAGTATAAATCCGTGGTGGCTCGTGTGTCCGGCGTACAACTAATGTAAACAAGACAGCCGACGTAACTATTGCCAGTCAGAATTTCAAGAACAGTGAAGCTAGATAGAGTAAAAAGTATCTGAACGACCGGAAAGGTATGTGGTATGCCTCTGTCATTTTGAACTTGACCGATCGTTCACGCTGTGTGCCGTCGAACCAAATCATTTCGTCTGCTCGCAGCTGCCGCGGCAGCTAGTCTGCCCACAGATCGCAAAAATTGACTAGCATGCACAGTTTACAGCATTCACGATTGCTTACCATTGTGAGCAGTCCTCGGAATGATTTGGTTCAACCTCTCAAATGAAGCAGACTAACAGGAAGGCAGATCGCCTCCCGCTGTCATAAGCCTAACGCTCGGCTGGGTCGGCGAAGTCAGTCGCCGAACCGACCATTATCTCTTTTTTTACCCGAGTCGTGAACAGTGCTGGCTGCGTTGCGGTGACGACTCCAGCGGCCGGAATAGGAGAAACGAACAGGAAAAGCCTCCCAACGCCACAAACGATTTGCGCGCGCATGCGCAGTGCCATCGTTGATGCGTTCGAGGGCGAACCGTTCGTATGGAAATGACCGGCTAAAACTCCCTATTGACCGACTGACGAACTGACTACGACTTACATGCAGACTTATTAACACTCTCCGTCTGTGTGTGCACACCTAGAAATGTCATCTAGGTCGAGACACCTTGTTCGGCGAGAACGCATGTATCGACAGTATGGCATTCCGATGCTACGCAAAGAATGCGTGTTCCAACACCGCCTTAAACGGACCATGAAATGACCTTTTTACTTTTTCCAGATAACTTTTACATTAAACCGTCAATGTTCACTGAATGCCGAACAGGCATCCGTTTTCGTCTCAGTTTATTAACTTCTACACAAAAAATTATTGAAATATTGACTTTTTCATTCTCTCCAAGTGACCGCAAAACAAGCCGTGACGTAGGCCGTTTCCGGAACCGGAAGTTCTCTCGGCAGTAGGAGAATGGGAGTGTTAGCGGCAACGAGTTGGGGTGCGCCGGTAGGTTTTACTGCGCTGATGTCACCGACGTATTTCCTGAATCGGCGCCTCTCATCGCCGCATCGCAGCTGAGCGAAATTCAATGAGATATGTTGCGCTACAGCGACAGCATGGGACTAGTCCCATACGCCGGTATGCCTGTTGGGAAGTGCAGCGAGTCTTCCGGTGAAGACTCCAGAAGTCAACCACCCTGTCATTGTTGGCAGAAGGGCCGGCCCGTGTCAGTCGTTTGCAAAGCGACGTAGATGGCGTTTTTCGCGGCCTCGGAGATGCAGGAGCGAGCCGACGTTAAAAAAGATACGTTTGAACTACGAGTGTCAGCAAGAGCCACGTAAATACCTGTTTACACTCGGAGCGGACGCGCGCGCTTGATGGAAGTGCTGTATTCGCGCTGTTTGTAAGCGCTTCGGGCAATAACAAAGTGTACATACCGTGTTACGAAGGTAATCCATACGGCGTTTATTTCAGCTCTATATCACACAAAACAAGAAGATAGAATCGACGAGAGTCCCTTTTCGACGAGTGTTCGTCAACACTGCCTTGGAAAACAAGGGGAAGAGATTGACCTCACCTCTTAATCTAGAATTGAGGTCAGTGATCAAACTATAATACGGGAAGGGTCCACAAGGGTCGCGCGGGCATATTCCATTTAGCACGCCAGCCGGTCGTAGGCAGACGGTCTTGCGACGAAGCAACGCAGCGCCGAGTCGGAATGCCTGCTAGGCCTATATTCTGAGCAGCTCGCTTCGTCGGAGTCGGTGGATCCAGCGTTCTTGTTCGTCGTGGTCTGTTTTAAGTACTGTTTTCTTGCTGCTTGATGTCGGCACGCGCGGGAAGAACACGTAGAAAAAGAAACGTTCAGTCAGTCAGAGTTTTGAGAGGAAGGAAAACAAAGAAAATAAATGTTCGTCGGTCGCCGTCACCCAAGTAACTGTCGGCCCTGCCCTACTGCGCACGCGCAGTAGTTCCTTCGTTTACCACACGATAGATGGCGCTTGGCTCTCAGCATTATCAAATTTGGCAATTTTCGCCACACATCTCTTACAAAATGTGGATCTAAATATTATTTAACAAAACTTTTAGGAAACATTCGCCGGCTATTTATTGTTTACGATCGCGGTGCTGGTGAGGTAGGCTCTTACCCAATAGGCGACCTGGATTTGGCTGACGTGCTCCATTTCCGCGGATGCATCGTAGTGAACAGGCGAAGGAAGGCGCAAAAGAGTTCAGTTTTCTTTTAAAAGTTCTATAGCAAATAATTTTTTTTGGCTCCCTATTTTTGTGTTTCTTTTCACACCTTTTACGACGTGCGGTGGATGAAACTCGATTTTAAAATCATTTCATGGTCCCTTTAACGAGTTTGAGCTGCAGTAGCGATTCCGCTTCAGGTACGACGGCATCAAATATCTGGTCGAGCTACTTCGGCCAGACCTGGAACCACGGACGCACCGCAGTCGAGACATTTTTACGAAGCTGCAGATGATTGTCGCACTTCAGTTTATCGCCACCGGCAACTTTCTCATCACGGCTGGCGACTATCTGCATGTCCACGTATCCACTGCATCGCGGATCGTAAGGAAGATGACTGCAGCACTAGCCCGTCGTGCAAAGAGGTTGATACGGTAAGTGGCAACATATTTATACCCATTCTGGTGTTTAAACAAGCTATAATAAAGTCCTTGATTCCCTTGTTCATCTGATGTCATACCAGGTACCTTGATAGGGGACTATGTGATCAGTGGTCTTAAAATCACCGACACACACAAGTGTGAGTGTATGAGTGACGAGAGCGATATTAACCAAAAACGAAAGCATTAGACCATTCAAAATTGTAAACCCTGCGATATTTTCACAATCAGTTTAATACCTGAAAAAAAACCATACATTTGATGATCGCAGAGCCCTAGAAACAAAATGCTATTTTTCTCTTCTCCAGCACCAATATGAATGTTTCTAAGTTGTAGTTCCCTCCCTAAAATGTTAGAAAATGCTTTCCTTTACAAGTACTCATGGTGTTACAAGCTCACGCTTTTCAATGATTTGCACAACGACGAATGAAGCAGTTTATGATCTGCCACAACAGCGATTAATTTTAAAATGGACCCCCAAAATGTATATTCTTTAATATTTTCAAACATCAAGTGGTCATATTTATGAAAGTGCTTCTTGGAAGTCTTCACAAAGTGGGTGTACATGACAACGATTTCAGTGCACAGATTCCAGAGCGGACGACAAATGTTTCAATGCAGGCCAAACGAAGCTGAAGCGGCTCAGGTGCAGCAGCAGTTCTTTAAGGAGGCGGGCTTCCCTTCCGTGGTGGGTCCTGTGAATTTTACACACATTCGTATTCAAGGACCGTCTGACCACGAAGAAGCGTACGTCAGCTGCCATAGCTACCACACCAGCTGGTGGTGGACGCAGCATACCAAATTCGCTATGGGATAGGAAGGTGGTCTGGCAGTGCAAACGACTCCAAGATCTTCAAAAAGAGCACCCTTTCCGGAAAGTCAGCCAATGGAAAATATGACGGCTTGCTGCTGGGCGACAGCAAATATGTGTGCAAGCCATGGCACATGACACTTTTCCTGATGCTCTCCTCATCGCCAGAGGAGGGGTACAACAAAGCACAAATCCAGCTGTATCGTGGAAAGCTAAGCAGATACAGTAACATGATTTCGCCGTTACTGCCATCTAAGTGGTTCAAACTATTTATGCCTTCATCACACAGACACCCTTAATCACCTGTCAGCCATTTGGTAGGATTAATGCTGACAGAAAGGCAGCTAAGCATATTTAATATGAACGCACAAAATACTTTGGAAAATTCTATGACGGCACTA